AAAAACAGTCTGGTGATGCACAACAGGTGGAGTTGGAGACTTCAGTCATTCCTATAAAGACTGTTCAGAAAATCTCTACTGAAGGAGATTCAGATGAAAGTTCAGATGAAGAGGATGCAACAACTTCAGCAACCACACAACAAGAATCCATTGCAACGAGTAAACCGAAAAGAGTTATCAAGAAACCTGCTCGGTATTGTAACATGGTGGCTTATGCACTTCCGGTGATTGATGACGGAATCCCCTGCACCTACAAAGAAGCAGTACAGAGTGTAGAAAGTGCAAAATGGAAAGAGGCAATGAATGAAGAGATGAAATCTCTCCACAAGAATCAGACTTGGGATTTGGTACAACTCCCTAAGGAAAAGAAGACAATTGGTTGCAAGTGGGTATATGCTAAGAAGGAAGGTAATCCAGGAAAAGACAACATCCGATTCAAAGCAAGATTGGTAGCAAAAGCCTATGCTCAAAAGGAGGGGATAGATTGTAATGAAGTATTCTCTCCAGTTGTTAAGCATTCTTCAATCCGTATTCTGCTAGCCTTGGTTGCACAATTTTATTTGGAGTTAGCCTAACTTGATGTGAAAACTACCTTCCTACATGGAGATTTGGAAGAGGAAATTTACATGTCTCAGCCAGATGGTTTCAAAGTCACTGGGAAAGAGAATTGGGCTTGTAAGCTAAAGAAGTCATTGTACAGATTGAAACAATCTCCTCGCTAATGATATAAGCGATTTGATAACTTCATGACAAAACATGGATACATACAGAGTCAGTTTGACAACTGTGTATATTTTCGCAAACTTCTTGATGGTTCTTTCATCTATTTGCTCTTATATGTAGATGATATGTTGATCGCATCGAAGACCAAGGTGGAGATTGATAGACTGAAAGCTCAATTAAGAACTGAGTTTGAAATGAAGGACCTTGGAGAAGCTAAGAAGATTCATGGCATGGAGATTCAGAGAGATAGAAGAAAGGGCACAGTCTGTTTGACACAGACCCTATACTTGAAGAAAATTTCTAAAGAAATTTGGGGTAGATAGTAAGACCAAGCCTGTAAGCACACCTATAGCTCCTCATTTTAAGCGAAGTGCTTCAATGTCTCCACGCACAGAGGAAGA